CTAGGATTTCAGTTCATCCATGCACACGTTTATTCCAAACAAAACATGCTTAAACATGTCTCTGTGATCTATAGATGGTGGCAGACAAGTGTTCTCAGCTATATACTAGTCTTAGCTTTGTTAGGGCACCTTTAAAAAAAAAAAAAAGGCCTAATTAAACAGTGGCTTCTAAGGGGATCTGCTAGGCCAGTTATATTAAAGATTGAGAAGTCAGAAGGTTATGGAGATTGCTTTAAGACTCCAAAGGGGTGATCATGACAGATTTTCTTGAAGAGCAAAGGATAATCATGGGAGCTTATTATGAAGTTTTAAGAAAACTGAAAACTGCATTGGTGAGAAAAACAAAAACAAAAGGAAAGCTGCACTGAGGAATTTTGACATGCCAATGCACCTGCTCACTTTTGGGAGAAGAAAGGGCTGTCACAAAGAATTTTGCTGCAAGACCTTATCCCACCTACCCTACAGCCCTGCTCTTACTCTTTCATACTTCTTTTTGCTTCCCCAAATCAAAAAACATTTAAAAGGAACACAATTATGAGTCCCTTGAAGATGCTAAAATTGCTGGGTTTACATGGTATAAATGGAAGAGCACAGAATTCTTTGAGGTAGAAGTAGAAGTCTGAGGTATAAGTTTTGTAACAAAAAGTTTTGTAACAAAAATCTTACAGTCCAGGAATAGAGGACCCTAGGACCATCAAGGGAGACGAGCTCGAGTGGAATGCAGGACCTTATCCAGAGAAGCAGCAATACCAGAGTTAGAGGCAGAGATGAGTACATGGAAAGACAGAGCAGTTGAGGACTCTGGACTCACGGAAAGATAGGGACTGGGTACTGGCAGCCAGGAGGCAGGCTTGCAGAATGTGCCCTTGGGTTGTTTAACTGATTCTATATTCCTGAGTGGTTTTGTGTACATCTCCCCCCCCAAAACCAAAAAAACAGGAAATAGAAGCAAATACTGTTGAATGTTGATGCACGGAGGAGATTGTAATTATTGCAATGAAATGATGATTGTAAAACAGATGTACTTCCATGTAAACTATCACTGAATTCACAATAAAAACTTAAAAAAAAAAAAAAGTAAAAGCATATAGGCCTAGGTGGAGAATATATTGAGAAACAATAACTTCACAGTTTGATAATTTTCTATGATTTTTGCAGAAGTAGTTTTTGACTTATCTTCATATATTAAAATAGAAAAACAATGAATCATGCCATCACCTTAAGCATTTCTATACACCGTCTTCTAACTCTTGCCCAAAAGGTTATATTGTTTTACAAAACTGTAACAACCATATGGAATTTTCTCAGTTTTGGAAAAACTCTGATATAACCAAATGATTCAAAACTATTTAGGAAAGAATTTCAAGTGTACCATACTTGCAACAGAAAGTGAATTTAATTATAATTAAATGTAGATTAATATGTATTCCAATAGAAAATATTTTAATTCCATTTGATTGACCAGTATTTTCCTTAATTTGGCTTAATCTTTTACAATGAATATATATATTTGGCTCTTAAATATTCAGTAAGTCCAATTTATATCTAAAATTTATTTCCTGCTTTCTTTAATTCATTATGTATTTAGTATTCATTAGCGCTTTGGCTAGAGAAAGTTAAGTATAAACAAAGTACAGGAAGTTTAAGTGTAAGATGATCAATTTAGATTTTTATTGAAAGTATTAAAAGTATAAAAGTATTAAAATATAGTTATCATATAAACCTTTCCATTATTAATAAAAATAATTAAGAGAACTGCCTGAATTTAGCTTTATCTTTTACTTGGTGTTTTATATTTTCCCTTTATTGTCTTTTACAAATGTAGTTACAGTTGATGTTAGTGTTGTTAAATTCTTAGAAATAAGCTACCTTTGATATTATTTCTGTCTGCTACTTAACTCTTAATTTCAGCCTAGCCATAAAGACACATATTTTATAGGTGAAATGAAAGATATATCTTACAAGATTAAAAGATATAATTGAAAAAAGATATCTGTTGAAAGTCTGCCTATGATTACTTATTTGATTTTTTTATTGAATTTTTATAGTTGGTTTATAACCTTGGAGACTACATGTGCTACAGAGCAGGGCAGCTCCCCAGGGTTTTCTGGCCACAGAAGCAGATTGGTAGGCCTATTTCTTCTACTGTGCTGTTGGCTAGGTTTGAACCATGAATCTTTACGTTATCTGCTAAGTGTAAAATGTTTGTACCACTCAAGTACTTTGATTACTTATTCTGACTAAAAAATAAACTGTAGAAATAATTTAAAAATTACATCAATTTCATAAATAAAAAAATCATCCACATTTAAAATAAACGAAGTTATTAATATATCTTATATTTCACACCACCCTTTTTGTTATAATAAAGACTTCTTTCTTCCATACCTTAAGTATATTTTGAACTGTAGTTGTTAAGTTCTGTTGATTTGATGCTGACCCATAGAGACCCTGTATAGAATTTCCAAGTGAGCACTTTATAGTAGTTCAGTGATTTTACAATGTGCTATAATATAATAGGTCCAATCACAAAGTTGCATTTCAGAAGTCAGAATAATTATTTCTGAATTTCTTTTTTGCAAAATAAACCTGAACATATTCTAGTGTCTGGGTTTCTTATGTTTATTAGCATTTTTAGATGAATGAAAATTGGAGTGAATTATTCAAATAGAAAAAATGATTATGAAAGGGGAAAAAAAAAAAGAACTGAGAACTACTTTGGAGAACTTATTACCTTTTTTTTGCTTAGAGGAAAAGTCTCAAAACTGGGTTTCTCAGATTTGACATTAAATACTAACATCAGAGTTCTCTAATTATGCATTATGAGATTCATTATGCATTCCTTTTGAGTTAATTCAGATATGTAAGATAAGATAATTTTAGTTATGGAGTCAGTAACTGAATAATCCTGAGAAACTACACTAAAATCAACCACTTTATTAAGGAGCTCTGGTAGCATAGCAGTTACGAATCGGGCTGCGAACTGCAAGGTCAGCAGTTCGAAACTACCAGCTGTTCCACGAGAGAAAGATGAGGCTTTCTGCTCCCATAAAGATTTACAGCCTCAGAAACCCTGTACAGGGTCACTATGAGTTGGAACCGACTCCACGGTACATGACAACAATTGAGGAAAAAAGAAGTACAGCACTCTGCATTCCTTGGTCTTGCTGAAGCTAAGAACCCTTACTTGTTATACCGTATTTTACTTAAAAGATGATGCACCCTACTAAAACCCAAATCATCTCATTGAAAAAAATTTCTTTTTAAACTTATACAATTCCAGTGAGTCAGAAAAACACAGAATAATATAATACACATCTCTATATCCACCACCATCTCGCCATATTTGCTCAGGTCTTGTTTTCTTTAAAGAAAGAAAAGTTACAGACACAACTGAAGACCTGTTTGTTACCATTCCAGCTATCACATAGTTTCAACTTTGCCTGTAAGCAGAGTTAATAATTTTCTAAAAGTTGCATATTCTACCTACCCACGTTTTTATATTTTCACTACATTTTTATAAATATTAATGTAGTGATTCCTATTTTATCATTCTGCAATTTTCATTTTTTCACTCACTATTGTTTCTCGTAAATGGAGAAAAGATTGAAGCTGTCAAATATTTCATTTTGCTCGGATCAACCATTAACACTAATGGAAGCAGCAGTCAAGAAATCAAACAATGGATTGCACTTGGCAAATCTGCTGCATAAGACCTCTTTAATGTGTTGAAGAGCAAGGATATCAGTTTGAGGACTAAGGTGTGCCTGTTCTAAGCATTGTTATTTTCAATAACTTCATATGCATGTGAAAGTTGGACAATGAATAAAGAAGACCGTAGAAAAATTGATGCATTTGAGTTGTGGTGCTGGAGGAGAATATTAGAAGTACCATGGACTGCCAAAACAACAAACAAATCTGTGTTGGAAGAAGTGCAGCCAGAATGCTCCTTAGAAGGCAGGATGGTGAGAGTTTATCTCTCATACTTCAGACATATTATCAGGAGGGACCAATTTCTTGAGAAGGATAGACATCATACTTGGTAAAGTGGAGGGTCAGTGGAAAAAGAGGAAGACCCCCAACAAGATGGATTAGCACAGTGGCAGCAGCAATGGGCTCAAGTGTAACAGTGAGTCTGTGAGGTTGGCACAAGATCGGGCAGTATGTGTCGGTACCGACTTGATGGCACCTAACAACAATTATTTCTGAGATCTATCCATACTGATATATAAATACTTAGTTTAAATTTTATAAAGTGTTTCCTTGTAAATATGTACCACTCTGCTACTGATGAATGCTTACCTTGTTTCTAATCAAAGTAAAATGAATATCCTTGTGTTTGTTTCCTTGCATATACGGGATATTTATATATAGCTTCAATGAAGATTTCTACTTAAGCTGTTTAGGTGATTTTTTAAAATCATTAAGTACAGGGATTTGAAAAAACAAAAATCAAAAACTAGAATGCTATCTTCTAATGTAAATATTTATCTACTAAGGGGTATCTACCATCCACCTTAGTAGATACATATTAAATGTTTCTATTACAAAAAACAGACTACTAGGGAATATGAAATCTGTTCTTTTATTTTACTTGGACATAATGTTATTTATAAATAGTTCTATAGAGGAACATTTAAATTGTATGGCTATGTAAATCTTCTGTTTAGATTTTAGTGGTGGGCCCACCTCAGGAAAATAAAATGAGCAAAATGTGCTATTTGAATGTTGCTTTCTGCGTAAGAAATTTTAGGGTTGAAATGAATTTTGCCCACTTTGTCCCACCTCAGGCCCTCAAAAACTATGATAGTTGTTGTGAAGTGCCATCATGTTGGTTCTAACTTATAGCGACCCTGTATAGGGCTACTGAGGTTTTAAATCTTCATGGGAACAGAAAGTCTCATCTTTTTCCTGCAAAATTATGATAGAATAGGGACTAAATAATCCAAGAAACCTCATTTCTCATTTCTTTTAGGGAATTAACCTGGTAGTGTATCTACCTTTAATTGTTTATCTCTTGGTATTTCTGATTTCACTTTTTCATGTGGCTGATCAAGAGTCAAATTATTCTTCCTTGTTTCACTGTCTTCAAGCAGCGGAACATAGCCATAACTATTATCTGCAAAACAAAAATCTCTTGGACATAAGTGGGAAACCCTTATTTTTGGTTCCATCTGAAAAAAAATGAAAAGAATTTAAGCCAAAAACCTTATTTTCAAAGTATAGAGATTTAAACCATGAATTATTAAAACAAAACAATTTTTAGATAATGGTTATTTTGACAAGTTATTCATTCAGATGTTTTTCCTCATTTCTACTAAAACACAAAAAACCCTACTGTCCCAAAATCAGAGTGTGCAAAATATCCAGAATTTAAAGAAAATAAGAAGCATGCTCTTTGCACCTTACTGTCAGCAACTATTAGTCTTGTACATAAGTCTACTCTCAAATATTCCTCTCTTGTTTATAATAATTGCTTATATAACTATACCATGCTCATTGTAGGAAGATGAGAAAATGCAGACATACTGACAAAAGAGAAAAAATATAAGCTACCCAGTTTTTATCACCTGTGAATTACTTCTGTTAACATGCTGGTCTACATTCTGTCAGGGTTTTTCCTTTGCAGAAATGTAATCATATTGTATTTATTTTTGTATCCTACTTTGTTCACTGTGCTATATGTATCATAAACATATTTCATGCTAGTAACTTACATTTTATTATTATTACTTTTCTTGGTATCTAGTTGTTCATCATATGGATAACCATAATTTAACTTTGGATATGTCTATATTTCATCATTAAAAATAATAATGAAATGAGCATCCTTGCATATATATATTTTAGAGTACTTGAACAAGAGTTTACTTACAATATATTATTCATTAGGATCTGAATCTTTTGTCCATAAGGCACAGGCATTATAAACAGCTTCTCATACTTACTGGTAAAACTGCCTTCGAAGAAGTTTTATCAGCTTAGAGTTAGACCATATAGTGTATGTGGGTGCCTATTTTTCCTTTTTCTGGAAATGTTCATTTCTTAAATAAACGTAAGATGTAACCATACTACAGTTATTAAAATATCAGAACAATGTACAAATAGAGGATTAAAACAGAAAAACATGATTTCTATCTTTCATTTCTTCAAAAGGTTCAAGAAATATATAAAAAGTTAATATGAACATACCTTGATTGGAATTCAGAAGTAACTGTGATTTTAGCTTGTCAATAATAGTTTGTTGAAGTGACAGCTGTTCCTGTTGCTCACGTATTCTCTGCTCATAGTTCTCAGTCTGCTGACATAAAAAAACAGTTAGCCTGATATTCACTGACAGACATATACCTTTATTATCCTTTAATAATAACAGAAAATAATGAGTGGTACAGCTGAATCTATATTAAAGATATTCAATAAAAACAACCACTAACATAATACAAAATTAAGATTTCATGTTTCTAAAAAACCTATTTCTGAATTTATTTCTAAACTATAAAAAGACTCAAAGAAATAGTTATAATTAAGACATTATAAAATCAAAGGGACAAAAGAAAATTTAGAAGATTATATTGACAAGAAACTTCTAAGACTGTTTAAAAAGTCAACACCATTTAATCACTAGTGTACACCTTAAAAACCCTAATTTCCCCTATATTTTTAACCCATTAATTGTGTTGCTTTACTGCAATAATTATAAGAATTAAGCACTGGAAAAAAGGCTCAAATTTGTACTATGGAATATAGATGCTGCAAACTTTAAAGCAATTATGAAAATGGAGCATTACAATTACAAAATCAATACAAAGTCTTAAAAAAACTGAACACACAAATGAATTCATTACCAATTTTTGTGACTGAAGGAACAAGTAGAAGATAGGATTGTACATTCCTTAAAATATAGAATGAAGTTCTAATAATCTCTAAATGTATGTACTTCAGTCGATATTAAGTATTTGATTTTGGAATAGAATCTGAGTGAAAATTCAAAATTGTTTAAGTTGTAGTATTTTCAGGGATCAATAAGCCTAATGTCTTTTATAAATTGTACAGCTGTTCTTATATTCTTAAAAATAAATTAGGTTAAGAAATTAAAGCAAAATATCCCATTTCCCAAATAGCAAGTGACATTATTTTATAATATACTTCATATATGAATAATTGACATAGCTGAACCCAAGAAGGATGTCATCTTTTCAACTTCCCTATGAGGAGTGTAATATAGTCTTACTGTAAAAAATAAATGAAAGAATCTAAGCAAATTTTATTATTATGAACACAAGAATGAATCTTGTGAGTCCATATGAACCATGCACCCTAAGAATATGAGTTTCAGAATAGAAAACTAGATGCCAAAGTGTTGTGTAAAACTTGGCTTATACTTTCACAATTTCATATTTACTGGTAAAGTCCCCAGAAAGAAAGTATATGCCGACAGAGAGAAGGATCCAAAGGACTCCTGCAATTTTTAATATCTTAACTTTATCTAGGTTACAAAGTTCCATGTTTTTGACTACTATACTTTCCTCACACATTACAGTCATAGTATTTAGTAAACATGTTGATGTTTTAGTTTTCTCTACTTCTGTGTATTTAGAACTTGTTCTAAAGATTATGAAGTTAAAAAAAAATCAACTAGTAGTGAGTCATTCTTTCCTTAAAATTGATAGTATATTTTGATGATGCTGTCTAGAGATTAAATAAAGAGTAAGAAACCGAGCAAATTAGAGACAGGCCATAGTAAATATCTAAATCATTCAAGCCACCATCCACTATAGTTTTTTCCACACTCAATTCAGAAACCAAATGACCACATATTTTCTTTTGGAATCAACTCAGAAAGCTGTGTCAATTAAATTTCCTCTTCTTGTTAACTGGCTTAAAAAAGACTTTACCATATCTGCACGTAACACAGAATAAATAATGCTGAGTTGCAATTATTAGTTGGGAAAAATCAATAAATCTATGGCTATTTCAAGTTGAAGTTTATTCTTAAAATCCATTTAATAATGTATTATAAAAAGTTCATGTAAATTCCATAACAAGTTTAAAACCAGACATTTTGGAAATACAATAGGGGAAATATAGTATCAATCTCCTAGTGTACTTTCCAGACACATTGCAGCAATGGTAATATTCTAGTTTAATTGTCTACATGTCTGATTTCCCTCTAGACTATGAACTCCTCAAAGGCAGAGATTATTTTTTCTGGTATCTCTGGGGTGTAGCAGAGTGCCTGACACATATTGAGATGCTCAGTAAATATTACTTGAATAAGTAAATCAACTAAGTTGTTAAGTAATTATCAGAGAGATAGGTCCTCAGCAGTGAACTAACTGAAGGGTGGAAAACGGCTTTGTTTATATTCCTATGAGGAGAATAGAGAAAACGGAGACAAGGCAATAGATAAAGGAGACAAAGGCAAATTAGGTTTGAGAACATAGATACAAAGAATAGACAATGTCTGAAGACATTTTGGGAAAAAACCCAAAATGCTTATAATGTCAGTATAAAAGTAATAAATTGATAAAACAAATACATATTCAGGAAAAGTATAAAGAAATCTTTAAAGTCCAGAACAGGATATTGCATCAAATTGGGAAGTAACAGGTAATGTTCAGTTTATTTGCTATGTATGGAAGCTAAATGAAACAAGGTTTTTTTTTTCCTTTTTATCAAATGTTTTGTCCAATAAACAGTTGAATAAATGTATCACCTGAAAAATTCTATTAAAAGTTCATGTAATTGTTGTACTACCACTAAAAAACAATACAATTACAAAGCAAGTACATTTCAGCACCACCAAAGACCTCACAAAACATAAAAATCACTAACAACCAAATTGAAAATGTACAACAGCAATGTCTTGTCAACACTTCTGTACAGAGCACAGACATGACAGCTAAAACAGACAGAAGAGAAGATGCTTTTGACAGCCAGTGTGTGTGAATGATTCTTTTGAGTCAGATGGCAGCAACAAGTTACCAACTAGGAGATCTGCATGACAACTAACCATCCATCTGTATCAAACACCATCTGGCCAAGATGACTCTGACTTCTGTGTACTTGACACTCCTTTCAATTCTAGAGACTAGCAAAACAAGTGGTCTACCAGCATCAAACAAGGTAAACAGGTACTTGGGTCATAACGTATTTTGTATTCCTTATTAGGTTCAAAAGCAAAACTTATAATAATGGTGGTCTAATAAAGTACCGACTCGATGATACCTAACAACAACAACAACAACAATGAAGTACAGATCCCTGGAGAAGGAGGACATCCTCCTTGGTTAAGTAGAGCCTGCAGAAGAGAGGAAAAACCTCAGTGAGATGGACTGACAGTGGTTGTAACAATGGGCTCAAACACAGCCACAATTATGAGGATGGCACAGGACTGAGGTGTGTTTCACTCTGTTGTACATGGGCTCACTAGGAGTTGGAACTGACTTGACAGCACCTAAAAACAACAGTGCGTAGCACTTTATAGACACACGCTAATTAATTGGTATGCTAAACATCAACTTCAATTTTTTTTTTTTTAAAAAAAGATCACATAGATTGACAACACAGAGATCCTGGTTTAACACAGCTCAGTTTTAACTATTATGTGTCTACTAGATTTTCTGCCTTCATTTTCTCCTTCCCTTCTGCCCTCAAAACCAAGACTTATCTAGGAGATCTGCAATTTGACAGAGCAGATTATCAATGTGTACACTGTCTATTAGGTAATAGTGCTGCAGCTGATTTCTCAACCTATCAAATGATGGTTGTGGTGGTGGTTATGTGCCGTGGAGTTGGTTCCAACTCATAGCGACCCTGTACAGGGTTTCTGAGGCTGTAAACCTTTACAGGAGCAGAAAGCCTCATCTTTTTCCCAGGGAATGGCTGGTAGTTTCAAACTGCTGACCTTGAGGTTACCAGCCCGATTTGTAACCACACCGTTACCAGACAAACAAATTTAAAATCCTGTGCTTTTGGTATTGATCAGTTTACTTAGCCTCTGAGTCTTGGCTTCTTTCTTTTTTCAAATGCAAATTATTTACTGAAGGATTAAAATGGATGGCATATATAAAATACCTGGTATACAAACAAAACCAAAAAATGATTTCTGTAAAGTTGATTTCAACACATGGTGACCCTTGTGTGTGTCAGAGTAGAACTGTGCTCTACAGGGTTTCCAGTGGTCTCTAGACCATCCTTCCAACGTGTTTCTGGGTGAGTTTGAATCCCAGACTATTGGTTAGCAGCCAAGTGCCATAACTGCTTGTACCACCCAGGGCAAAGTACCTACATAATATTTACTACCATAGCATGTAGTACATGTATCCATCAACACACGCTCTGATTATAAATGATCATAAGCAAATTGTTGCTAGACTTACCACACATAAACTCACTGCCATGGAATTGATTATGACTCATAGCATCTAAGTCAGTTTTTTTATTTCTTTCTTCTAGTTTCTATAACTTAAAACTCAGAAATTTTTCTTTGAAAAATCAGCATGGCATTACCACTGATTTTCTACCAAGCAAAAATACAAAACACCTGGTTGCTCAACGTCTATAAAGAGACAAAAAGGACTCAAATATACTCTAAGAGCAATTAATGGCAGTTAGACATTACAAATGTAGCATGTTAGCTGAAAAAAACAAACAAAAAAAAAACCACCCCAAAAAACCCACAAAAAAGAATAAAACCTACCAGATACAGGCACAGTAAATAGTGGAAATTGTCTTCCTTTTTGTCTTTCAGTCTTTCTTCAGAACTTTTTCTAACATATTGCTATGTAACTCTTCAGTGTAGCATACTGGGTTATACTTTGAACCGCCAAATGCAAGGTCAGCAGTTCGAATATACCAGCCACTCTGCAGAAGAAAGATGAGCCTTTCTGTTCCCAAAAAGATTTACAGCCTTGGAAAACCTATACAGGATTGCTACAGAGCACACCACCACCCTTTTAGAACTTCTGTGTACATATGTGTTATATGTACCTTATTTAGAAAGAGAGAGAGAGAGAGAGAGAGAGAGAGAGAGAGAGAGAGAGAGAGAGAGAGAGAGAGAAAGAAAGGACTGTTCTGGAACAAATTTTTTCAACTCAACAACAAATTATTATCTATATGATCATTTTATTGAAAAAACAAGTGTACTAATTCCAGAGTGCTTTATTTTATCTCAATGCATTCTAATCTTGTGAGGAAATTATTTCCCACATTTTATAGATAAGAAAAATAAGTCACAAAAGAGCATAAAGTAATCTGCTGAAGGCTTTCCAGTAAGCAGTAGAGCTGGGATTTGAA